CTACAGGGTGATGCAATCCTTTTGCCACAGAACCCAGGAAACCACAGAAAGCCTGAAAATATGCAATTAAATTACTCAGGAAGGTTTGAAGAAACACAGGTACATTATTTTCTGAAGCAAATTGCTGGCGATTTAAGATTAACACACTTGTGTGCTTGACAAAACCAACATTATCTCTAATAAAAATACCAAGTAATAGATACATCCTTAATTACACCAGGTTCCTAAGAATGACATTTTGTTCCTTCCTTCTATACATAATCTTTAAGCAAAGAGACATATGAGTTTAATTAAAAGTCTTTTGGTTTACTTTGAAATAAAATGTTTCTTTTATCCTCCTCTTGTAGCTAAATTCATGTACTGATATCGAACAAGATGTACTAAGTGAATGCTTAGCTATACAACAACTCCACACATCTTCACAACACATTTTGGATGGGAAATGTGGTAGATCTGTAGGTCATCATGATTTAATTACAGGTAAGAATACTTCTAATAAGTATGGTGCTAAATATGTCATATAATACAGGATTTAAAATGGAAAAGCTTATGGGTCTGATTTGCTGCTATGGAAGACGAAAACAAAGCCCAAACCAACAAATAAAATTGAATAATTTGGTGTGTCGTTTGCTAAGGCCTCACTTTTTTTTCCCAGAGTTAGTCAGCCCAATAGCTCCTATGAATTTCACGTGAAGGGGGTAGCAGCCCTGCCGAGAGTCAGACTCCATCCATTTGTTCTCTTTTAAAACATTTGCCTTGGCTTCAGCAGAATGCAGGTGCGTGAACTTTGCTAAAGCCAAACTAGAGCTCAAGCAAAGGCAAAGGCATGCAGCAATAAGGTTTTCCAGCACTACAGGAGCTGCAGAAAAGTTGATGAGGCCATGTATTGTCATGCCCTGTGTGATTATAACAAGTATATGGTGACGTATGAATGGGGTGAAAGCTTGAATCTGAAATGTCAAACATGTTGTTTTAATTATCTTTTCTAGTATTTAATCTTTCTTTCTTTCCATCTTCTGTTTTTTCTTTCTTTCTTGTGGTTTGAACAAGGACTGGCCCCTTTCAGGGACCTTAGACTTTTCTATACATTTTATATGAAGAGAAAAAGATGCTTCCATTCCCTTCTGCTGAAAATAAGATCTAGATTCACGGCTTTTGAGCCTCAATAGAGGATCCTGAATCAGGGATGCAGCAGTCTCAGGTTCTTTGTTTAGCCAGCAGAGAGAAAGAGGAACTCTCAAAGGCCATCAGTTTCCTTGTAATCTGCCTCACCTGTGAAAGCACCCATATCCCTCCACTGATTCTAGAGATTAGAATGGGGAACCTTTCACTTAGCTGTTTTCACTCTCAAGTCTCTTTCTGTCCACGCAACCATTTAGCCCTTTTTCTAATTGTCATATTTATTTTATTCTTCAGCAACATCATGTATCAGTGAGTTGCAAAGCCCGTCCTTTTTCGAAAAAAATACTTCCCTTGATTACTTTTGCACATGTGACTTTCAGATAGTGTTCAATGAGAAGAGTATGCATATAGACTCTTACTTGGTCTGCTTTGATGGAATGAACTTTTGGAGACCCATTCGTGTTGCCACCTTTGAAACGTCTCTAACTCTGTAATATCCATTTTGGGATGGGGTAACCAATACTATGCACAAAATTCCAGATTATGCCATATGCTTGATTTATAAACCATCACTGTCACTGTTCCCTTATGTCATTCTCTGTCATGTTCCAGATGCATTCCAATATCTTACTCATTTTTTAATGGCAGCTGCCATGTTCATTTAAATTGAACACAGCCAGGGAGGGGGCAGCCACAGCTTCGCTGGGCAGCCTGTGCCAGTGCCTCACCACCCTCATTGTAAAAAATTTCTTCATTATATCTACTCTGAATATACCCTCGTTTAGTTTAAACCATTACCCCTTGTCCTACAGGCCCTGCTAAAAAGTCTGTCCATGTCTTTCTTATAAGCCCCCTTTAAGTATTGAAAGGTGTCAGCAAGGTCTCCCTGGAGCCTTCTGTTCTCCAGGCTGAACAGCCCCAACTCTCTTGGCCTGTCCTCATTGGAGGAACTCTACAGATTGCAGAGCAGAGCCAAGGTGAGACACAAAAAGACAGGGATGCCATTTTTGAAGACTTAACTTTCAAATTGGTCAAAATTAGAAAATGTTCAGTGCTATTAAAATCCAAAATTATTCATAAAATGACTTAGCTTAGAGCTAAATTAATCTGTCTTGATTTAAGAAGCACTTTATGGTCTTTCAGTTTCACTGTGGAGGAGAGGCTTGACTTGGTATTACTAAATGTGTTTTAAATTGATTTAGTAACTGAGTGCAAGCTTTCCAGACAAACCCTAGCTTGTTTCTGTTGAGGCTTAGAGAAATCCAATGGTAAACTGGGATTAGAAAACAAAAATGTCTGGTGCTAGTTCCCCTGCACCAAGGGATGAGCTGATGAACTTTATTAAGGTATTTTTGCTTTATAAGAGCAAATTCCTTAGGCAAGAATCTCCTGCTTTTTTTTTTTTCTCACTCCAAATCTTAAAAATAAAACCAAAAAATGCATCCTGCTTGACGTCTTCTAGTCTCCTTTCTAGTTCAAGTTGCACTAAAATGTTCGAATGTAACTGGTGGACAGAATGGAGTAGAAAGGGAAATAACCCATAATTCTAACATTGCTCCCCTGGGAGTCTGCCCTCACGGTTTGTACGTGGCTCCTCGAAAAGTTGCAGAAAGCTAGAGGCACTTGGGGGAATTATTTCCATTCTCTGCCTTTGTCGTCTGCAGGCTTAACATCTGTGAGGGCAGCACGTGGCCTCTGCTGTCCTCCCTTGCCAGTCCAGCGTAGCTGAAGCATGGCTTGGCCTCTCTCTTCCAGGCAGGACAGGAAAGACGGATGACATTTCCTTCAGAACAGGCTGCACCGAGGAACCTCAGAAATAGCCTCAGATTTCAAGTGACAACAATAAAACAGGAAAAAAGTTATTCGCTTACAGATAAACAGACCATCTGTAACCTCTTAGTGTCATTTCTGAGAACCTCTTATGAAATCAAGGACTTTATCTATCAATAATACTGGCTTTCTCTGATGTGATTTCTTTGCTGATTGTATCAATCCATCACCAGGATGTTGTAAAAAAAGTAGTAAATCTTCCCTGATACTTCCATTGGGTCACCCCATATGAGACCCCATCACATGCACAGTATGAAAATGTGCCAGGGAAAATAAATCAAGATTTTAAAGACTGTTTTACAGTGAAACAGAAGTTGCTTCATACTATGTGTAGTACAATTCCATAGGCAAAACTGTCATTATTTAGGTCATATAAACTATAAAGTGCTGATCCTTAGAGAATTAAAGCATAAGGACAAACCTGCTGCCACCTATAGTCTGCAGTGATTGCACATTTGCTCTTTCAAATAAGCAGAGGTAATATTTCTGGAGAAATCGGCTATATTACTCCATATAGGATATATATGAAGAAATACAGTATATGATGTCCTCTTGATTCCACTTGAAAATATGAAAATGTTCATGATTTGGGTTTTCATTTTGAGTTTGGGGGATTTCCACCCCCCGCCCCCTTTTTTTTTTTTTTTTTTTTCCAAAGAAACCACATTATTAATGTGCAGAGCTCTGGGCTTTAGGGATCACTTGGATTCCTGGAGAGTTTCAGTTTTGTCTTTCTCCAAGTTAAAGCACATTTTAAATATGTCAGGGATGAAAGCAAATCACAGAAAAAATGAAATATTTAAAAAGCTCCCATCCCTTACGTCCGACTTCAAAGCAGGTTTGTGCTTAGGACTGGGTAAGACAGTGAGCCAAAGAATGTTTTGCAGTCAGAGGAACCCATTGTTTGCTTAGATCCTGCCCCTTTTTTCCTCCTCATAACTAAGATGCTTCATGGCTGCACACATTCAACTCTAGCTGTGCCCAAGAGCTCGTATCGCTCTCCCTGCAGGGGAAGTGTCTCCATTTAGGAAATTCCACTGAGGCATTTTCTTTGGGCATGTTTTATTATTGTTTTTCTGGTCTCAGCATAAAGCTGCAGGGAAAAAAAGCTGCTAGTCACAGATGCTCAGAGTACTGTTTTGGCAACAGATGTTAAGGTTAAAGGCCAAGCCGTTTAAAATATTGATTGATGACATATATTTACAAGCTGAGATGGTCAAGGCATGAAGAGGCCCAAGGTGCATAGTCCTGAAGTGGGTTGTGCTTGCAGGAGTAGTCATTCATAACAGCTCCAAAGCCTTCTGTGTGACTTCAGGTACTCAGAATATTATAACTCACTGCTGAAAAAAAAAGGAGGAAAAACTGTAAAAGAAGCCAGATTTTAGAAGTATTGAAAATTATACTGAGGCTGGAATAGCAACTGCTCTTCCCCCTTTGACTTCTTCCATTGTAGAGGCACCTAGTTTCCTGGGCAAAGGGATCCATGCAGCAAAGACAGCTTTTCTCTCCCCTCGAACAACTCCTCCTTTCTGTTAGGGCTTGGCAGTGGGAAGGACCTTGTACACCCTCATATCTGCAGGGACCTCCTGCTTCCCTGGACAAGGCAGTTCACTCTCTCCTTTTCCTGATAAGGCTGCCACTGCCAGTATTGCCTTCTAAACCCACCATCTTTGGGCTTAACACTCATGAACATACCATTAGGTAGTCATGGAATCAATGTGACAGTAGCTCCAAAGTTTCGGTGTTTTAAGTCTGGAATTAAAATATATATAACAAAAATTTTACAGTCAAAATGGATTCCAGTGACAGCGCAAATGGCTGACAGCTGATAGCATTCATAGCGCTTAGCATAGTACACCCTGCACAGCGCCTGTGACCAGAGAAGGGTCTGTCCCTCTGAAGGAAGTAAAGTTAATGTTCTGTTGGAGTGCCCTTGTTTTGCACTGTGTAAGATAAATAACTTTAAACTTTAAAAAAGTACCGGTTTGGTTCTCAGTGACTCAACAGAAATGACTAATGTCCCACTGCAGACTCACATGGAATCTCGTAGTAAATCCCATCTTCCATTGTGTGTGCTACATGGCCCTCAAAGTACTCGTAATCACAGGCAGATACCCCATGCAAGCGAAGTGAGTGAACAATAGGGTCGATTCTTTGTCTGCATTGGCTCACGTTTTGGCTTTCTCACTACCCAGAAGCTTCAGGGGCGGATGCAGCCCTCATCCAAATGGAAGGCTGTGCCGTCTCAGAGCCTCACTGCCAGGCCGAGGAGCGCACGTCACTGTGTCTGACGCCACAGCAGACTTGCAGCTCCCCCTGTTCCTCCCACTAGCCCTGCGTCTGAGGGGTACACGCTGTACAAATCGGGACTCTGGGTTTAGTCTCACTTCCTTGGGAAACACGGCTTGTGTAACCGTTTTGGTCGCCACTCTGTCCACATGCGTGTCAGTCCCCTTCCCCACCGCATTTTTATAAATCCATGAGCCAAGCTCAACCACATTGGACAAACGCCTCAGAGAGAACTGTGTTCTGACAAGTTTCATGAATACTGGCAGCTGGATAGCAGAGAGTGGCACCCAAAATTAGCGTTCCCACTGCAGGAGAAGCAGGCAGGACTCAGCTGTAACACACGCTGCTTGGCAGCAGGCAGCACACGTGTAGCACCGCATTTGTCAGTGTCACAGAGCAGATGGGGGCAACTGGGTTTACCCTGATGTGCTTCAGCCCGTGTTGCGGTGAGCTGCCGATCTAGCAGTGCTGTGGAGAGGGGTTGTCGGTGCGAGGGGAGCCAGCAGCTTCTGGGGTGAGGCAGCACAAGCTGCGGTGTGGAAGGGGGGTTAGGGGGACAAGAGATGCCACATGTCAAACCAAGAGTGAGTGAGGGCGTTGTGGTAAAGATGTAGGAAAAAGAAAACTCACTGGTGAACAAACCCTGCAAGCCTCAGCACACTTACGCTCCAAGCACAGGCATTTTCCAGAGAAGATGTGATCGGTAAGTCAAAGGATGGATAAACTCTGGGTGGACAGAAGAAAACCTACTTTAAATAGGAGAGGACATCCACAGCAATACATCTTTTCAAGCCCAAGAGTGGGCAATGGGTGCCCACCCTAGAAGTTCCACAGCTGGGTGGACTCCTCTGCATAGTGGTTGGGCATGGCAGAAACTCAGGGTAACAGGGATTCTGGTTTCATTTGGTTTTCTCTGGGGTGGGTTTGAGTGCATGGAATCGTGCAGGATTCATTGGGACATATGGATCTGTGGGCTGGGTGGGTTTTTTTTCACATTTTCTTCCATCTCTAGAGGGGCAAGCTGATTGCAGGTACGCTGCTACTCTGTCTTTCTCACACACCTCAAGGAAAGAGCTGAACTACCCTCAGCAGCTGAGACAGTATGGAAGGGGCCAGGAGAGACCCCCCTAAACATTCATGAACTGTTCAGGGGTGGGATTATAAGGTAATTACTGGCCACCACACTGCTAAAACTGCTTTTTAAGGGTTTTTGAGCTCTTTGGGTGAGCTACTGACAGCGGCCAGTACTAGTCTGCTAGCCTTAGAGAGCATAAACATCTCTTTTTAGGT